ACGCGCTCTGTACCCTAGGTGCAGTGACAAAGAGCGGCATCTACAGTAACGCTGTAGATCGTTCTGTATCAGACTCTAATTTTTTGCAGTGTGGGAGACCAAAGAGGGCGTTGTTCTTTTCTGCCCAACTTGCACCTGCCCCACTCCTCCCCACCCCCTCTTGCACTGTTATAATAAAAGTCGTTGTTAAGTTTGTTAGCGACAGAGCGTCCGTTTATAAACGATCAATGTCCTGCTACCAAACCTATGTACTGGCTGCCCTGGTGAAACATCGAGCTCTAAGCGCATGTCACCAAAGTTGTTGAATTGTTGAAGTGGGCTCTGGAAACCGAACTTGGACCACCCCCGCCTGAAAATTACGTCCCTCTTCGCCACCCCACCCCCTCCGCTTTCTCCCTGCTCCCGTCGCTGTCCCCAAAGCTACTGCCAACGCCGTTGATATGAAGACCTCACAAGTTCGTCGGCCATCTTGGGGGCCCTGCGTGCCGACCATTCCACTCTTCTCCATTATCACCTCTCTCTCTCTCTCTCCCCCTTCCCCCTCCCTTCCGCCGCCATCATCCCCCTGAGTTGAGGAGGGGAGGGGGATGCGCTCGGCGGCGGCAGCAGCAGGAGCTGGCAGGCCGTGCTGCTGTGATTCGCACCCTGTGGGACGCGATGGAGGGGAGGGCAGTGCGCATGCCAAAGAGTGAAACGTACCTCCAGCAAACGTGTCCAAGAAGCGCGTCGTGCTTATCGTTCTTGCTCGCCAAATAAAGGCAGGTAATTCTAATTGCCTGTGGAATGGGGACAAAGTAGGGAAAGGATCTAGAAATGAAAATGATGTATTCTTTTAACTTTTTAGTCCATGTGGAAAGTTTTGGGTTACTAGCTGGGATTTCAGCACGATTTTCTTGTGTATAACTTGAATGGCTCATGTAGTGTCTTAATGTCATTGTAAAGTCAAACTTGCACTGTTATGGAAGAAGAGCCAATGTGAAATATTTTAAATGAAAAACTAAACAAGTTGAAAGGCGTCATGTTATGCACAACCTCGTGTGCACGCATGCGTGCATGGATGCATCCATGAGCGCGGCCCAAGAAGAGGATAATGTTACCAGGAAGGCTGCTTGGGTTGCACCGACTGCACATGCGTTTGTACAGTTTTATAAAGGTCCTGCCTCTGATTCGACAGTGATGGCATAACTCCGTGGAACTGTACTGCTAAGCGGGGACGGGTGGGGAGAGAGGAATAGCCAGAGAAGTTCCCTAATTGTGCGCGTTCCGCCTGGCTACGCCTTTGACTGCAGCGCCCCGATTGCGAGCCAACTCACGCAACGCGTTGTTGTACCCCTCAAAATGCATCACAAATCACACCCAGAATAATCGTTTCAAGTCTTGTTTCAAGTAAATTTTTCCTTATTTCAAGTGGCCGCTGACACAAGATCAAATTTACTCTTGAAACAAGCTGATATTTTCTTTCGAATAAGGGAAAAATCTTATTCCAAAGGCAGTATCGCCTTTGTTTCAATGTTGAATTTCATCTTATTGTCTCAGCGTGGACTTGAATCAAGAAACTATTTTTCGGTTTGCACCTGCTGTGCGCTCCCTGTCCAACACGCGCATAGGCAGGCGACTGGACTGTTTTCCAATCATCATCAGTGCCTGCCTGCCCCGGTTTTCGTGAACACTTTTTCCATTATACCAACAAATCCTTTGCAAATATACAAAGAACGCGAAATCCTCCGCTGCGTTGGAAAGAATGATTGGGTTTGCTGGCGACTTTAATGTGTGTGCCTTTCCTTTCGGCAGCGACTACGATCGCTAATGGAACCACCGCGGTTATCGAACGGCGATGCGGCATGGGAATGAAATGAAAGTTTATCTGAAGGAACGTCCCCGCTTATCTCTGCCCGGCAGTAATGATATGCCATTACACACATCTCATGACGACGGGCGGTAAATCAACGGCCGGTCACCGTCAGCAAAAAACACACCACCGCGCGCGGCGCGTCGACCTGCCCGGCAGCAGCGCGCCCGGCCCTCCGAGCGGCCCTCGGGAATCTGTGGGGGTGCGCTCGGCCCGGGGGAAATTCTCTCACGATACAGCCGTGCTTATGAAATCCATGCGCGACGGTGAAGGGAAGTTGCGTCATTTTTATTGATATTGTGGTCCGTGCCATGAGCTTACTGGAGAAACACAGGCGCCAAGTCGTGCCTTGCCTGGGCCAACCCCATATAGTTAGTTGTACATTTATAAGTGTTCAACTTTAATATTGAACATTTTTTAGTATTCAAATATCCAGTTAAACACTTTAATGTGTGCAACGTAGTGTTGGCACTTGCATGTGAACGCCCTAGTTGAACACTTTACATATCAGTGTACGTCTCTCTGTTTGTTTTTTTTTCAATTTTTACCAAGTCTTTTTACATTTTTTGTAATTTTTTTCACTGGTTCCACTTTTTTCACTTGCTTCCTCAAGGGTGAGGTGATCTATTTATGACTGTACGACCACCATCGACGATCTGCGATACCCCCCCGTGGTCACGGCTCTCGGATGCGCGCCCAGCGTGCCTCCATCCGGCCCAGTCCTGGGTCGCGGATTGCCCTCTCACCCCCCCCCCCTCCTGCTCCCGCGAGGTGACGTTGTCACGTAGTTTGCGTACGATCCTTTACCTGATGTAAGTTTATTCCCCACCGTGGCACGGCTCCTGCACGGCTCCTGGATTCGGCTTTAACTTCTTTCCCGTTGCTGCCTGCCGCTAGGTTCCAGTCACGTGCCGACCAACTTTTCGCAAATCCGGCATCCTCCCCCTCCCTTCCCCCCACGCGGCACACGCCTCGAAACCGGTCAATTCTTCCCCCTTTTCCATCTCTCTCTCCTTCTCAACAAGTTGAGATTGCGAACGCACTCCAACACATCACGTTCCCCTCAAGAAAAGTTTGGGCGGCACATCATAACGAATGCTATTCAATTTACTCTCGCACCTCCCATCTGTCGGTCTGTCTTTCGCCTCTGGCCCTTTTCCATCCCTTCATCTCTCTCTCTCTCTCTCTGCCCCCCCCCCCTCAAATCTCTATCTCCGAGCAACTCATCGTCAGCAGGAACTGCAGTAGCAGCCGCCCGAGGGCTGGGGGGCTCAGAGGAGCTGATGCCGAATCTGCACGCGAATCTGCATTCAATGCACTCGCGCTACAGGCCCTACGGGCGGGCCCTGGCGGGAGCGGGAGGGGCAGCGCGGCAGCTCCCACCCGGGGGTATTATCGGTGCTGCTTCATTGTTTGTTTCAAACGATGGAGCCCATTGTGTCGGTCTGTCTGTGCCCCCTCCCCTCTCTCCTCCCCATCTCTCCCTCTCCTCAGGACACAGGACAGGTGGTTTCCAGTCGGTTTCGTACTGTTGTTTAGAATGAAAAGTAAAAATAATAATAAAACTTTCAAATTTCACACTTGTGTAGGAACACAATATCGCAAATTTATCGAGTCTACAATTTGACGCGGACTTTAGCTGATTCTATTTTTGTTGTGTGTTGTGTTGTGTGCGCGCTGCTAGGTGACGTTGCCACGGCATGGGTGTTGCAGGTGTGGTCTGATTTAACGGCATTTCCAGACCCCCTCCCCCGTCCTCAACGTTTCCACTTCTCCGTCGTGTAGAGGTTGTGTTCCGTGCAGCCGGCACACATGGAGGCCAGGGAGACCCGCGCGCGTACACTGCACACACGCACACACATAGAGCACTCGCATACACGGACCCCGCGCACCCGTCGAGCTCCCTGGCGCCGTGCGCTGCGCCCGGATCAGCTGGACCAGCCCGTGTACTGTACCACACAGTAATGAGACCCCTGTTTAAATAATGGCAGCGACTTTGCTCAGACAATTAAGCCACACAATTAGGTAGCGGCAGGGCAAAAGTTCCTTGCCCGGGACCTTGACGGCTATGTGCTGGGGGGAGGTGTTGGGGGAGAGAGAGAGAGAGAGAGAGAGAGATATGAAAATGTGCGAGCGTGTGTGACTCACTCACTTTTGGAGACCGACAGTATACAGCAGTGCTGCTCTGCAAACTTAGTTGTCGCGAGCTTTTGCCTGCTCGTGTACGGCGCGCGCACGCTGTTCTTCTCACCTCAGAGGGGAGGAAGGGCGGGCTCCGCAGGTGAAAAAGCCACCCTGACCCCTTCCCCCCGAACTCTCTCTCTCTCTCCCTCCCCACTTTCCTCCCCTCCTTCCTCCTCCTGCACACTACTGCGAAGATTGAAATTTACCGAGTCGGATGTCGAGATAGTTGTAAGACGCCAACCGCACAAGAAAGGGCGCGGGCGGAAGGGGAAATCAAGGAGCCAAGAAGCGTCTCCTCCCCCTCCCCACACCCCTTCTCCTATACCCGGTTTCGACCCTACTCTGCTAAGTAAAACAAACTTTACTGGATCCAAAAAAAAAAAAAGAAAAAAAAAGAAAGAGGCTGCCGTCCTGGCCGCCTGGCCGCTTGGGGCGGGCGTCGAGCGACACGAATTCAATCGAACTTTCGGGACGTGTTTACTCATTCTGTGGGGAAAGTTGTGCTGCGGCGTCATGTTTCTGGGAATAAAAAATAATAGGGACAGAGAGGGGGGAGTGTGTTAAGCCATGCTTTGTCTATTTAGCTAATCACATTGTTGCCTCATTTGTCGCGGAGACAAAAGGGTTGCAGCTTTTGTGGTGTGATGCTGGGGTCCCAGATGTCGACAGCCCTGGTCCGTGCAAGAGAGACAGACTTGTGGGCAATCCACAAGGAAGGTTTTCAAATGACTAACAAGTTGCTAGCGAATCTCAGTTTGCGTGTTGCTCTTGTTGCAGGAGGGATGTGATGGCCGGGCCAGCCCGTGACGGCCTTCAGGGCGGCGCCCCGGGTCGCGGCCGGCCGTGGTGCAAGGCGCGCCTCTCCAAGCCCCGCCGGACGCTCAACGCCATCCTGAGGACGTCGCGGCGGCTCGGGGTGGCCGTCGAGGACCTGGGGCGCCTGCGCGGGGCGCAGGCCCTGCTCCAGGATGCGACCGCCGCCGCCGCCAGTCGCGGTCGACGCCGGAGCCCGAGGAAGGTGCACGACCCGGACTTTCTGGCCGCCGGCATCCTCTTCGCACTCATGATCGCCGTCCTGGCCGGGGTCATGGCCGCCATGCTCGTCTCGGAGCACGCCGCTGACCTCCACGCCAACAAATCGGTGAGTACGGCCCAGCCGAACGGCAAACAGAGGGGACGGGACGGACGGGGCCGACCTGTTGGTGGGAACCGCTCGGCACACAGACCGGGGAAAAAGTGTTCTCCCTTAGGATAAATATTCAATCAATTCCCTGCTCCAGTTGGTTTGGTATGAGGAGAGAGAGAGAGAGAGAGAGAGAGGGGGGGGGGGGCTGGTGATTGATAACATTTGGAATTGTAGCCCTTTTCTCTCTTTGTTAAAGCGGAACGCGCCGCTTTAAATTGATCAATATACCCTTTAGCTCTTTGGTTTTGTGGGTGGCTAAAAAAAAAAAAAGATCTCGATCTAGATAGGTACCTACCTCTTACATTTTACAAAAAGACTAAAAAACAAGATTTATATGACGTAACATTTTATCAAAGCTCAGAAAACTGTTTTCACTGTGAGGGCGATTTAAGAGTAAATTTAAATCAAGATGACCTACAACTTCCAATTTATTTAGAAACATAACTTTTTCCCATTTATTAGTTTTTCGTTTCAATTTTCCTCATTATGTGCTCCAACAAAAGAGTTAAATTGATGACTTGCAAGTCATGTTTTTTATCCGCAAACTAACCATGTTGCGTACGGTTTACGCGATAGTTCTGGTGTGAAAGTTTTGTACATAGAACGATTTAGAACCAAACTATTACGTGTATTTCCGACGAACGCGATGTTGTGCGCACCGCTGCGCTGTGCGGCGCGCATTGCCTCCGTCCGTGGCGAAGGCCGCCGTCCCGAAGGCCGCGCCCTGGGCAGCCCTGGTGCCAAGGTAAACATCAACACAGTGCATCCCCTCCACCGCCACGCTGCGCCACAGTCACGCTGTTTGCACCTGTCAACAAGCAGCGTTTGTGATTGGCTGCCGGACTCGTCCCGTGCCCGGTCGCCGGCGGGGCCAGAGAGAAGAGGGGTCGAAGACAAACCAATTTAAAATTCAGACTGCGAGAAGTCCCGCTCTTGTTGTTCTTTGCGGGTTGGAGGGGCGAGTGCTGCTGCACTGCAAAAAATTATGACAGGAAAACTACAGATCGTCCTGCTAATTATTTTCCAGGAACTTCTGTTATTCGAATAACAGCATCGATGTAGTTTTAATGGTTAAAATTTGGTACAGGGAGCAATGTACAGGACCACTGTAAGGCAAAGGCGCGGACAAAACTGTCTACAGTGGAGCCGTATTCGTACACTGTACCGTGTAAATCCTGGGCTTTCCGGTGCTACAGCAGCACTGTACTACGCGCTCTGTACCCTAGGTGCAGTGACAAAGAGCGGCATCTACAGTAACGCTGTAGATCGTTCTGTATCAGACTCTAATTTTTTGCAGTGTGGGAGACCAAAGAGGGCGTTGTTCTTTTCTGCCCAACTTGCACCTGCCCCACTCCTCCCCACCCCCTCTTGCACTGTTATAATAAAAGTCGTTGTTAAGTTTGTTAGCGACAGAGCGTCCGTTTATAAACGATCAATGTCCTGCTACCAAACCTATGTACTGGCTGCCCTGGTGAAACATCGAGCTCTAAGCGCATGTCACCAAAGTTGTTGAATTGTTGAAGTGGGCTCTGGAAACCGAACTTGGACCACCCCCGCCTGAAAATTACGTCCCTCTTCGCCACCCCACCCCCTCCGCTTTCTCCCTGCTCCCGTCGCTGTCCCCAAAGCTACTGCCAACGCCGTTGATATGAAGACCTCACAAGTTCGTCGGCCATCTTGGGGGCCCTGCGTGCCGACCATTCCACTCTTCTCCATTATCACCTCTCTCTCTCTCTCTC